CTCAAGGTATCACCTGAGCTGCTGTCACAGTAATTTTCCCCACAATAGAATGCAAGTGATACCACAGGGCAGTGTTTCTCAACATTATTTTAGACAGCACCCTCTTGTCTGTAGTACTTTATGGTCTCTCCCACCCATAAATATATCGTTAAATAAAACCCAATATACCATTATCACTAAATATTAAAACCCACAGTTTCAGACCAACATGCAAGTACACAGTAATGTCAGTTCTTTATGAGAAATTACCTACGTATTGGTAAAGGAGTTTGCACTATTTTTTATTATTATCTTTAATATACTCTGTTAAAGCCTAGTAGATGACCTGTGTGTTTGTTCATAAAATATATGATAATTACAGGCACTTGATGCAAGTATATAACCAATATGGTAAATTTAAAATGAAAGGCTGAGCTAATGGGGCGACAAGGCCCATTACTCCATCAGAACCGTAACCAGTTTATCAACATTGCTTGGCAGTATATCACGTGCAGTCATGCATCTTCCCAAAGCATTTCACACAAGTTCAATCGTATTCAAGTCTGGTGAGTGAGCTGTTCCTTTATTGAGTATTCTTCTTCTATAAATCTGCTAACAACTGAACATACTAGGGATACGCTTTACTACCTATTAAAAATATATACGTGACCAAGTGAACCAAACCTACATACACCAATACTAATAGCTGTTGGACTGCATTCCTCATAATGCAATTTTGTAGTAGAAACTTTTCAGCGTGGTCATCATTAATGATCCCTGTACAGGTCAGTATGTCGTCACTGGGACGTGTATTTCTTTTCCCCCTGAAGTCAAAGTTGGATCTGGAACCAGTCACTCTCTCAATACGTAAACATCTTGCAATGTGAGGTATGATTCGTCTGTGAGCTAGACGTTCACCCACGTTATCTGGCCACTCCACACGCCTTTGAAACCCTCAGTATGGTCTGTTATGTGACTAACGGTGTAAGAATTCAAACCACTAAACACCTGGCATGTTTCTTATCGTCCAGTTTTAGCTCTGAACTGCTGATTCAACCGAGAAACAGATATGCTAGTTACGTGTAGCCCACATTGTCAAAAATCGGGTGTCGACAATGATGTACTCTATCCAACTGTATATGTGATCTGAAGGCGAGTCCATACCCTCCTAACCACTGTAAAACTTGTGGCCACTCTACAGTGACTTGTATTTTACCAACTTATTCATCTCCACATCACTTAAATGCCTTTGTTGAGATCCTTGCATGCTTCACATTAATCTGGATCTTTTTAAACACTACTTTTGGTCAACCTTTTAATCAAGATCATAGTATTTACTTCACTTTATATACCGTAGAAATGTGCACACCAATTAACATAACGGACGACTGATATTTCTTTTACATAAAATTTAAGTCGGGTACAATGTCATTATTACAGTACTTGTATCTTATCACAGTTAGAATATGGAGAACTATAACTACCCCGTATCCATTTTGAGCACAGTGTTGTTTGGTTGCATTCTTTAAGTTATGAATAGACAGGTTTTTCTATATCCTATGATGAATTAATGACCATATGTTATAAAACATAGCTAGAATATACTCCAAGACAGGAAACTATAGCTACATGTATTTTAATTTCTATTATATGGCACAAAGAAATGACACTCTGTTCATAAAGCCGAGTCAATAAAATCTATACAAAAATTAAAAGTGCTGTTTAAGATAACACGTCACAGGTAATAGTTAAAAAATAAATCAGTCTCCCAAAGAAGCAGGCGTATTTGGATGTACTATACACACATTCCTTAAGAAATGTATTTACATAATAATGATATAATAAGAGATTATTTTGTTTTCATGCACTGAGTATATTGAAATTGTTTATTAATTTTGCACAAACACCGGTGAAGTAAAAAAAAAAAAAACTGGTTTCATGCAAATGCTAAAATCTAGGGTTCTATTCCCTCGCAGTGGACATAGCAGATAGCCCAATTTAGTTTTGCTCTAAAACAAAACAGTGTAAATCCGTAAACTTACAGCTGTTACACAGAGTGACGACAATGTTTTGAACGAAGCCATAAAATAAAATAATTGAAATGAACGAAAACAGAAAAGACAGCCCTCAAGGACCTATATTAAAACTACACCACAATCATTCAATCAACAGACAAATGCAACGCTACAGATGTAAAGGGTAAAAACATGACGAAAAACACGTAACACTAATTGAAGATGGTTAAACTAAGACCATTTCTAGTTTAAAAAATAAACCTATTTTTCTAGGACATCAACTAAAATTTAGAAGAGAAACTGCTTAACAAGTAACAGTGCATCACACCACACGTAAATGTCCCTTGTCGTTCATTAGCCAGATATGCAACATCTACACTTACTAAGAAAATATTCTGACAAGATGAAAAACAAAAACCTTTACTTTCCAGATAATAGTATAAAAACTTATCACAGCCAACGTTTCGCCATTACAGCATTATCAATGCTAATGAAGCCGCAATGGCGAAACGTTGACTGAAATAAAAAGATTATCTGGAGTGATATTTTTCTTCTAACCTTACTGCCAATACGTCTAAATCCCTCCAGTATGTACTACAAATCTTGCAAAAACTATAAAATACTCCGAAAACAGCTTCACAGGTAAAGAATTCGTGCCAGAACATAATTAATGAACACAGTATCTACACTTGCAGGGAAAAACAAAGAAACCTTCCATTGGTAAGAATTAATGCTATATTTGTAGTGTCTACAAGAAATACGGCTTCACAGGTAAGAACGTATTCTAGATTTGTAGCACCTCCGTACAAGAAAAAGTTTTATGGGTAGTAATACTAGATTTGTAGTGTACACAAGAAAAACGGCTTCACGGGTAAAATGGATTTGAATTTCGCGCAAAGCTGCACGAGGGTTACCTGCACTAGCCTCCTTAATTAAGTAGGAACGGACTGGATGGAATGCAGCTAGTAAACACCACCCATCGGCAACTCTTTATTAACGAATAGTGGAATTGATGGTTACATTATAACGCCTCATACGGCTGAAAGGGCGGGCATGTTCGGTGACGGGGATTTGAACCTGTGACCTTCAGATTGCGAGTCGAGCGCCCTAACTACCAGGCCTTCAAAGGTAAAAATTAATGCTAGACCTTTAGCGTCTCCAAGGAAAACATCTTCACAGATACGACTTAGTGTTAATTATGTACTGTCTACAGTTAAAAGGTAAACCACCACGCGGGGGGGGGCTCTATTTCTGTGATGTTAAAAAGTATAATTTTGTAGTTACAGCGCAGGTGCTATGTATTTAACGTTTTAGGTGTTTGTAGATTTTATGTGAACAGCCATGCAATTGTTTAAGCCATTACTTAATGCAAAATTGCTTCCAGATTTAATCTCATAGCACCCATTTTTTTATAAATTTTCTGGGGGAAATGCCCCAAGACCCTCCCCCATAGCATTAGCACGCTGATTGTGTTTCGCACCCTTCAAACAATCTGCGGCCAAACCTGAACACAAACATATTGAGAGCAAAGTAACTGTGCAATATGTAACGAGTCTTATCCATTAACATACTAACCAATCACATTATTAGCTATCACCCCCCAAATCACAGAAATAATAATTCCCACCATAACAGAGCTCACCACGTTCTGTAATTAACACAGCACGTTTCTCAACACATAAAACTATCAACTATAGGTTCACTTTTATTTTTCTAGTAACCTCTACATACAGCATTTCAATGAAAGCACTCTCATGAATGCAATACAGCTTAGACATGTAGAAAACTATCATATTTTCACAAATATATCATACTGCAGATTTTCTAGACCACCTGCACAGTTAACACCCTGCAGTTCAGTTCAGTGTGAAAATAGGGAAGTAAATACGAAAGTCTACAAGAAAATTACAGACTGGTAAACGTAAGGTCACTAACAATGAAAAGATGGCATAAAAGACTATTTAAGCACCAGAATGGACAGAATTAAAAAAAAAACTTTGAAAAGTGACAATCAAACAGTTAACAATAAACCCCCTTACTAAAAGATATTCTGATCCTGAAGTTCTGAATTAAAAAAAAAGAAGAAATAATGGAAAACCAAAAAATAACAGGTTTGTGACATATCAACTGGTGCATGTCAAATGATCTAAAAAAAATTGTGTGTGAATGGGTATAAAATACCTAGAAGAAGAAAACTGAGTCAGAATTCTGGAAAACAATATCTGTCTATGACAGACTCACTATATAATACCAATCTATATGCGATAACCCTTCCATGGTTCAGGGAAGAGCATTATATAATGGAAAGGGATACCTAACATTGGGCATATGAAAAAAAAATACAGGAACGTCTAGTTAACCAATAGTACATTTAACCAACTAGGCACACAAGTAAACAAAACTTTGATATCCATCCTGTGACATTAAAACAATGATTCCATCTTTCTCCACATCTGTGGTTTTGTTACACAAAATCAAATATAATGAATGATCTTGTCTTTGGAAAGGTTATCAAATTCTTGAACAAAACTGCCTAAATAACATGACATTTTAAAGTAACCCTTCACTGGATTTTTGCAGTTCTAATGTTCTGCCTGTCTTTGTGTATGTGCTTGCTCCTTTAAGTTTAATTGATTAAAAAAAGATTACCTTCACACCAAGCATTTGATTAATGTTTTTTCTTCAGTGTTACAAAGAATTATAGAATATTTATGGAAAATTAAGCTTGTCCATCTGCCCCATATGCATTCTGCTTATTGATTGAAAAGGTTAATGACTTTTACATTAATACAAGTGATTTATATTTTTTATTTTGTTCAAAATTATGAGTGACCCTAAGAGATGGTCAAAAAAAAAAGTAGAATTCTACCATTCAGTATAAAATTGTCATGCCAATCCATCCATGCTTAGTTTAATAGCACAGAACACCTGGTTATCACACCAAGTAAGATTAAGGTGGTAACTACAAATATACTCCAACAGTGTTGTTTAACAACAAATCTTCAATACTCTTTTTTCTCTTTAATTCCCAAACAGACTTTACAATTTATAAGACAACAACTGGTTTTTATATCGGTTTTCTGATGCTTAGAATTGGATGCAAATCAAGTCAATTTTGCTGGAGTTTCAAAAACTAATTTTTAAATGTTCATAATTTTTTTATCTTAAAAAGAAAAAATTCTATTTATTTTAACAGTGAATGGGGATTGTACAAATGTTAAATGCAAAACTCCTCCCATGCTAGGCTTTTCAGCAGAAAGCAATTATTATTTAAACAGCCTTCCCATAAATAAGAGAATGATTTGGAAGTTCAAGCTCCTCTTTTTTCTTCCTGTATTTAAATAAATATGAAGTTGGTAATTTATCTAATGTAACACAAGTCAATACTACTCTAAATATTAGAATTATAAATCAGGAAATAAAAACATAAAATTAGAATGGCTACTTAAGTGTTATGAAATTCATCATTACGCTAAACAATGACACACAAGCAATTGAATCAATTTTCTAAATAAGACTAGAATCTCAAAACATTATTCAGTTTAATCTCTCTCTCATGGCATAATCATAAAATTTACTGTTATTTCTATACACAGACAAAATACAATTCTCTCCATGACCAGCATCTTCAAACAGAAAAACTATGAACAACAGTAAACAATACCATAAAACAATTTCTCTAAAAACATTTTTAGAGAAACAAAAAAATGTAAAAGTACTACCCTAAAATGTCGTTAAATAATAATAAACCAAACACCAGATCACAAATTTTCAACTACTTCAATTTTATTAAAAATGACAATGGATGCCTTTACCATTATTCAAGAAAATGTACTAAAATCCTATAAAACATTTTCTTTCAAATCATAAGAAAAGATAAGGATCTGAAAAGTATTCTGAAACTATCAGTCAAAATTTCATGATGTTAGAAAAACATGTAGGTTCAAGAAATCTTGATAGAAATGAATAAAAACAAAATAACCTGAGCACTTTTGAAAGGTGGACCTTTCTTCTTCAGGGGCAAACTGGAAAAAATTTCAGTTACTTTTATATATTAAAAGATTTATTAGCAAAGTTCAGTAAAAAGCTAGGCACTAAAACTATTTGTGGTATGAGATAAAGAATAAAAAAAATGGTTTTTCTTACTACATTTATGCTTTGCATTAATTACTTGAATTTCTATATTAAATTGTTTATTGTTACTTAATGTATATGCATGTAAATATTCTAATAAAAATGCCCTTTTTTAATTCAATTTTTATACTTTTATTTTAGACACTTTTGTCATTAAGTCCAAAAATCAGTTTAATTAGAGATAGTACAATATTGAAAAATTCCTACATCACAGTGGTTGTATTTAAGTATATTAATAGTAAACAATGTTTTAGAAATATATCTAAAATAAAAAACCCAATTTTTGTAACTCTGCTTTCTGATCAAAGAAATGCTTTTAATAATTCAATAGCTTATAACACTAATTACAGATAATGGCCACTTATGAACCCAAGAATCATTTCAAAATATTAATGTTGATGGGAAAATTGCAACTTTATAGGTTCTTCAAAGGAGGACAATACATACTACATTGAAGATGTAAGCATCTATACTCCAAGTTTTTATTAAACTAAGACTAAACTGTTTAAATCTATGCATGAGCTTCCTACCATACCAACATTGTTTAATTCTTAAAACTCCTGTAATATATTTAAATAGTTTAGTTACAGATTTCCTTCTGGAAAAGTTTAAAGCTCAAGCTGTTTACTATTAGTGTTGTTCTTTTTGTACTACTGATAATTAGAAAACAAAAACTAGATTCCTACACAGTTTTATTTCTATACAACTCAATTGTTACTGAAGAGAATATAAAAGATGCATGCACAAAAGACAGGTGACACGTTTGTCCATACATCATGTAATGAGCAGGATTACAGACAATCGTATTGGAAGAGCAGAAGACCCACGTACTACAAAGCTGAATGAGAAAGACGAGTCACCTGTCTGTAGGAAAGAGTCACTTTTTAGTATTGCCTAAATGCCAGAGATGCTTTAATGCTGATTGTGCACAGTAGTTAGCAGAGTTCGAAACAAAACTAACAAGACTATACAACAACTTTAAAACACACCATCTTACAAAAAATACTACTAACAATTTAGGCCTAAACAAAACTACATTTTTCAAATTCTGGTGAATCTTTTAACAGATCCATTTTTTCAGTGCATTTTAATAACTTACCTAATCTTTACACAAACTTACAACACAAAAGAAAAAGGCATTAGACTGAAAACTGTTTTGGCTTACCAATAATCTAAAATGAATTGATTAGCATAACAAGACTACAAATAACTGATCTGTTACTTCCCTGTGATTTAATGTCCTCTTGGAAGTTCACAAGTAAAGACAAGCTGTTGAAAGAATACAATATACAACAAGCACACAAAAGTGCTTTTAGTAAGACTAAGAACACATGCTTAGTTGAACCACTTAGTATTAAAAATAACAAATATAACCACAGGGAAATTATTTATTCTGAAGATTTGACAAGTTCCAACACTATTAAATCTGAAATTTTAATTCAGAAATGGTGGTGTGCAAGTTATAACAATAAAAGGCTTTGTCTTTTAGGCTTAAGATATGGCAGATAAGGGAATGCTCAGTCCAAATGGGATTAATTATCTTGAGTTTCTGTGGTTTCCTCTCCATCACCTTGGGTATCTGACGTCCATAACTAAATATAGAAAAACACAATTAATATTCTAGTGTTACAGTAACAAATACAATCATTAAATCACCATCAAGGATAATATAAACACAACAATGTTATACGAGTGAAATTCTGAAGAAACAATGTGATTCATCTGAATGATTCAATGAGTCACTCATCTGTTTGAGCTTGCTTGAAGACTACATTTTGGTTTAAATGTTAGTAATGTGCGTGCAAGCTTGAACAAAGTCTCTCAAACTTTGCAATGTGAATAATAAATATTCTATAAATCAATATAATCAAATATTAGTAGTCTTCAATAGCTTGCAAATCCATAAATATTTCCATTTTAATTTATTCAACATCTTAAATATCACCCTGGCTTAAGATGTATACAAAAATATTATTCTCAAAGACACTGCAGTAAATAAGAGGTGAAACCTAAATGTTGTTATTCATGTTCCTGAAACAAAGAAGCCATAATAAATATCGTAACAGGTTTCAAAACGAAACTTTACTGTTTATCTACAGTTTTATTTCAAATTTACATTTTCATTAAATGTTATCAAAAACTTATAACCTTTAGAGTACATATAAAACAAAGTTACAAAAAAAAGAGTATTTAATATAATTAACAAAAAACTGCCAAGAATTAACATGGTAATGACTAAAATAAATTCTTAAAAGAACATAGTAATATTAGGTGATCATGTACTGTTACTTACTGTCAGGTTATCCCTCAAAAGCTGCATAATTAACGTGCTGTCTTTGTAGGAATCTTCATTCAGTGTGTCTAATTCAGCAATAGCATCATCAAATGCCTGAGAAACAATATATATTTTAGCCATTATACAGTACCATTCTTAATATTTTACAAACCCCAAATTATAGGCTACATTATAAACATCTAATGCTATCTATTAGAACCTTATTATATAAACAATACAGACAACCACTTGTTTCATACTTATTACTACATATTCTGAGGAGAAAAGCTATAAACTAAAACTATTCCATAATTACACAACTTTTTTATAACCTTTCTGTCCAAGTTACCTAATAGAGAACAAATGATAAAGATACCTTATAAGACAAAATCAGTATCTACAATACTTCCAAATGTTTAAGAAGTGAACAAGCTTTACTACTGATGAAGAACATAACACCAAAATACAAGCCTTTAAAAACACATTGACTCAAAAGATATCACAATGTTAAGCCAGTCTAACTCCTGTTCAATCATACCCATTAATCAATTAGTTTCAATACCATCTGGTGTGAAAAAAAAAATGTTCTGTTGATGTTGAGTGTTTTCACAAGAAGCAGTTTTCTAATTTGATTCATAATATCAGTAATGTGCTCCCCCCCATCTTTCTTCAAAAAAACCTCATCTGGAAAACTGAATTTGTTGCTGTTTCTACAGAGAGAGAATTAATACACTTGTCAAAATGCTTACACATTAAATTTATTCTTTGTTTTTCTGTCTAAAGCTTTAGGCATAATAATAACAACACTTAAGATGAACTGTACAATGTAAATGTATAATTAAGTGTTCATATTTCAGTGTTATATAATTATTACAGGACCATATTAGTAATATAAACATTAGATTTGAAACAATTATTTATATGATATGTAGAAGCATTTTCATAATTTTGATAACTGTTAAATAATTCACACTCAGTGTAAAAAGAAAAAGCTTTACTTAAAATAGTATCAACATCAACAGTGGGTGCTGGAAAAGATGAAGAAAAATATAATTAATGGGAATTTTTTCTTTTCTTCACTAAAATATGTAACTTTAGTGAAGAAGAAGAATCAATGAATGATGTATAGATATAACTTATCTTTTGTTTTGATATTCTCTAAAGTATTTTAGGCTTTAGTTATGAGTAAAGGACTTTACATCACACCCAAAAAAAGTAATGAAGAAGCCTGAACACAAGTCTGGTGTAATGAATCATAAACCATGTTAGGAAACTTTACATCAATGTGACAGAGCTTTCATAAAAATGTGTGATAACAAACTAAACGTGTCTGTTTTTGGCCACTATTGCATGTCTTCAAATTTGCTGTGATTACCGAAGATAAAATAGTTTTTGGTATACATTTTGTGATGTCTACATCAGTATACATGTTGCATGTGTTTTGTTTTTAGGTTCATAGGTCATTATTAAGGTGGCAAGAACTTAATTTTTAGATATTTTTGGAAATTCAAGGACCATTAAATCTTGCTATGGGTAAGTAAGAGTGTGCATGTCACAAACTTTTACTGAATTAAATTCCGAATTTAATTAAAATATTTTATTACCAATGTATATGAATAAACTTGGCATCAAATAGTAGTTAATAAATCCAATTTTAATATTAATTATGTTTTAGTTTCTTAATTTTATAAGGAAATCTATAACAATAATAATAAAAGATCCTGTGTCTGTGTGAGATTGCCACAGCTTCAAAAGGAAAGAACGTATAGACCTGAAACTTTGCATGCATACTAATGGGATTCTGAGGGTGTGTATTTTTGTTTTTGAATTTCATGCAAAGCTACACGAGGGCTATCTACGCTAGCCATCCCTAAATTAGCAGTATAAGACTAGAGGGAAGGCAGCTAGTCATCACCACCCACCACCAACTTTTGGGCTACTCTTTTATCAACAAATAGTGGGATTGACAGTCACATTATAATACCCCACGGCTGAAAGGACGAGCATGTTTGGTGGGACAGGAATTTGAACCCACGACCCTCAGATTCCGAGTTGAGCACCCTAACTACCTGGTCATGCCAGGCTTTGAGGGTATGTACCTGGGTATTAATTTTTTGATTTTTCTATAGTCCTGAAACCCCATGATTTTGTTTTCTGAAGGTATATAGAAATGTATCTTTTTTTTTTCTAATTTACACTTACTGAATGAACAATATGTTAAGGTTTTCTGGCAAATACTCTATTTCAACATAAACACAAAAAGAAAAATACAAATCTTAGAATTTAAAAAGTTGAACTACATTTGGGAAACGGCAACAAACAACAGGAAGAAAAATATGAATCAGAGAATATTGGAGAATTCAAAGAATGAAAAAAATATTCAAATAAAAACACAGGAAAACAAAAAATAATCTGAGAAGCTAAATTAAAACTATTTGCTTCTAAAAAGAGTTGAATTAAGTTTGGGAAATGGCAACAGACAAATCAATTAAAAAATTGGCACACTGGGATAGCTGTAGAAGTAATGAAGATGCATGCCTGTACACTGAGGCCTCCATGAATCATGGGGGGGATCTTTGAATCCCACAGCAGAGTGTGGGTATTTTATGTTAGTATTTAAATAAATCCCCAATCTCCCCTACCATGAGAATTGTGACATCTCTAGGTCATCCCCCTTCTCAAAGTATATTTAACACCCCTCTCTGAAGTATATAATTTAATGTCAATTACTCATTAAAATTCAGCTATTACTAATGTAAAGTATAATTTTTATAGCCTTCAATCTTATCTGTTTACAGTTGTAAACTAGAAAATCAAACCCACTTGCCATGTCCACCTGTCATCCTCTCTTTCATATATTGCCAATAATTCTCTCTGATGCTTTATTTCATTTATCACTAATAGAAAAGCAAAATTTTTAATTATTGAAAAACGTATAATGCTACATTGTTTTCAGTACAGAGTACTGTCAATTTCATCTTGAGGTTGTAGGTTTATCTCAGTGTTCAGATTGTGTAGCTAAGGGAATTATTTTAAGCTCTTCTTGTCTTAGTTAGAAAGCCAGTAAAATTAAAAGTTATAGGAACATTGTTTGCTTTGTGCATGTTATTACTCTGTGTTTTTAGTTGTATTATTTAAGTAACTAAAAATTATTTAACGTACTAGTACCATCATTACAAGTAGGCTTATATTTCGTCAGCAACTGACAGGAGGAGAAGAAAAAAAAGAAAGAAAGAAGGTCAAGGGTTATTTCATGCATATTTTATATTTATTTTATAAAAATAACCAAAATGTAGAAATAACAACAAAATGTTTGATACTTATTTAGGAAGTTTTCAGAGGTTACACAAATGAAATTTGAAAATTTTTAGATGAAGAAAAGTATTATTAATCTTAAAGTAAAAATAATTTTGCACTCAGAGGAGTCAAGAATCCAATTCCATCTGTTTAGGAAAAATCTTTAAAAATACTTAATAAAAAAATTTGTTTTTCGTTAATGAAAGACTTGTAATATTTACTGAAAATCTGCCAAATTTCATGAAGATACACACCATATTAAAAGTTATAATATGGAAATGACTTACCTTGCAGTTACATGATGTTAACTTTCAGCATAGGCTCGGTCCCTGGGACTGACTTCGTAACCATTTTGTGCTTGCTATAGTTTCATACTATAACTTTTAAATTATTAAGTGTATGTTAACAAAATTTGGCAGATTATCAGTAAACATTACAATGCTTTCATGTGGAAAATATAAAAATTTTTCATTAAGTCTTAATGTTTGTAAAGCAATGTTTTTCTCATGTTTTTTTTTCTTTTTGCATGTTGCCTATCCATGTTGGATAGGCAACATGCAAAGTAATTTTCATTTTAAGATTAAAAATACTGTTGTGCATCACAAAATTTTCAAATTTCACATGCAAAATCTTTATAAAGTCCAGATAGTTATCAAACATTTCTTAAGAAAAACTTTATATTTTATCTGTTATTTTCAGTAACGAATCTCTATACGGGTTTGGTCAATTTGACTGATCTTGTAACCAAGTTAAAAAAATTGAAAATAAATATATATTATGCCTTTTTTGTTCCAGAATGACTACAAATTATAATACAAAACATAAATGTCTAGACTAAACAGTTTAAATCTCATAACATAATACATCTATATATATATATTTATTATTTATATTATATTGACCTTTCAGCCAT